AAAAAAAGGCACCTTAAATCTGTCCCTTTACTAGATCCTTTTTAGGACTCTAGTCATTTGAGCTTTAAAAATGTAGAGTCAGCTCAGGTTTGAAATTAAAATGGAACAACAGAGGAATTCTTGGGGGGTAAAAGTTAAAGGCCACTAAAGTGTACAAAGGGGGACTTTAGGGGTGTGGAGGCTTTTTAGAATGACCCCATAATCCCTTGCGGGGTGGCGTCTTGGGCAGCTGAATGGAGCTGAATGTTTACTGGCCGGATGCCCTTCCCGTTGCCAGTGCAGAGTTTTGTTCAGGAGCCCTATTCTCAGTGTGCCCAGAGAGATGAATATCTGCCTCTCTCCCTAGGATCGAATTTCCCGGCCTCCCGATGGTGAGGCAAGAGCTCCACAACCTTTTAGAAGTGTATAGAAAAAGAAAGCTGGGAGAGGCCAAAGAAGAGAAGCGGAGAAAAACTCGCTGGAATTTCTTCTATAATGTCTCCCCAAATCCTATCCCAGCCCTTCTCCATACCCATCCTGCCCAGCTCACATGGGTGGACAGGGGTGATGGCTGGGAAGCATGGACATTCTGATCCAAGACAAGGGAGAAACCTACGCTACCAGGAAGCCCAAACACACGTGCGTCGACTCCTTTCTAAATTAGGTGTGTCTCCCTCCTCCTCTCTCTGTCATGTCCAGGAGGTTTATGTCGCACATGCTCCTTGTTTTTCTCTTTCTTTCTCCAGAACAACAATCCTGCCAGGTAGTCTGTGGTGGGCGAATGCACCTGGCCCAAAGCCACTCAGGCAGTTTCTCCAGCTGAGGGTGGACTCGAACCCAGGTTCCTTACCCTCAATGTTTAGCTGAATTCCGTTTTTTTCCCCCCTGTCTGGTTTTAGGCTGTCAACTCCTTGGGGCAAAGATTTATCTGCTAGCTCTTGTAAAGCAGAAGGTCTTCTTGGTGGTTTGATAAGCAGAGCTGTTAATACTGTTTCTCAACCAAGCAGCCTGAAGAGGCTGCCTGGGGAAATCTGGGAATTGAAGTCCACCCTCCTTTTATTTTATTTGTCAAGCAAGTATTAGATAACAGGTATAAGTATAAACATGGTTATGAAGACATGAAATGGACACAAATAAAAAGAAACATTAGGACAGGGACGGTAGGCAGGTTGGTACGCTTATGCATGTTGCCAAAGGTTGAGAAACCGTGCAGGAATGAGTAAATGCCCAATTATAACACCATGCAACAATTGTGCTTGCCAGGTTGCCTGGCAGCATTTCCAAACCAGTGCAGGCTTGGGAAGCCCCCTGCCCAGCTCCTCCCTTTCCCAAAGACCCCAAACCTTTTTCTCCCACCGCCAATGACCGACAGTAACCCAACCCCTGACGTCAGGCCCTTCTACAGACACCCAGGAGGAAGAGGTGGGCAGGGCCTAGAGGGGGAGAAGCCAGCTCTGGCTCCCAGCCCAAGCTTCGGGAGGGGGGGGGGGGGGGGGGGGGCGGGGGGGGGGGCGGGCGCCGGGGGGGCCGGGGCGGGGGGGGGGGGGGGGGGGGGGGGGGGGGGGGCAACTGGTGGGGCTTTTTCCGGGCTGTTCTATCCCACAGGCTGGTCTGGCGTTCCGTGGGACCTTCTCTTCCCCACCGCCTTGCCACAGCGACCCAAAGGGATTGGATGGTCCTTTGGAGAAGCGCATGGGTCTTGGCACTCCCTCTGCAGCTCCACGCGGAGCTCAGGCTGCCCATGGTGCCCAGCCTGCCCTGGCCAAGCGGGGTCTTTCCCAGGGATGCCACCGGCTCTCCCACCCAAGGGGACGGGGGTCGAAACCCTGTTCCCCGATTTTTCTGGCAGTCGCTTCCCATCTTCTCTCGCCCGGTGCTGCCTCGCCAAACACGCCCATCCTTTCCCACGCGCGACGGATGGGGAGCCCCGCTTTCCTCCGCCACCTGGGAATGCCATCCCACTGAAAGGCATCGCGGACCGGCGGGAGGACAGGGGTGGGCAAGCAGCCCGGGTAAAGGCTGAGTGGGTACTTTGGGCGCGCGCGCACGCATGCACGCACGCACACACACAGACACACACACACTCGGCTGCGTCCGGCGCTCTTTTGCAAACAGCCCGAAGGGGAACTCGCTTCGGGGGCCGGAGCGGGAGACCCGTCGGAGGAACCTCCTGACCCGACGCTCCCGGGGACGGAGAAGGGGGTGCCTTCCCCGGCTGGGTCCCCAGAAAAGGGCGACGCGCCCCTTCTTCCCATCTCCTCCCTACCGTCAATGTCGCTCAGGAGGGCTGTGTCTATCTCGGCGGTTTCATGGAGACTCAGCGAGAGATCCAAGCCGTCCAGCGAGGGCTCTTCGAAGGGATTCATCGCGGCTGGAGCTGTCCCCGGCGCCCCTCGCCCGCTGCTGAAGGAGGAGAAGACTGGGGAGGGAAGGCAGGGCGGTCGGAGGAGCCCGGGTCGCCCTTCGGGGCTGTCTCCCGTCCTCGGCCTCAGGGGAAAAGCCGCCCAGGCAAACCCACCCACTTCCCACGGGGGTCTGGCGCTGGGGTCTCCCGGCTGGCTGCGCGAGGCTCTTGCCGCGGCTGGCAGGAGACGCGGTCAGTTGTGAACCGTAGCTCAGACCTGTGACCAGGGGTGGGGAGGAGCCTGGACTGGGGCTCCGCCCCTCCGCTTCTTTCAATTGGCAGAGGGGTATTTGGGGTGGGGGGAGGACGTGAGCCGCGGGGCTTTCCCAGACTTCAAGCATCTTTGCGAACCGGGCAAGGCGGCGCATCTTTTGCGCTTCGAATCTGGCCCGGCTGGGTGGCTGGCTGGGTGATGGGAGGCGGATCGGGGGGGGGGGGGATTGTGCCCCAGTTAGATTTGGCAGTAGAAGAGATGCTTTCCGTGCAGGAAGAACTGCACCTGTTGGATTCCTGCCACGCACCTGGAAGGGGCACAGCTGGGAACGGCTGGGGGGAATATGGAGAATAGGCTGACTCAAGGAAAAAAGGGGGGGCAGGAGGAGGGGGGCATGGCCCCCTTCAGTGCAGGGTTGCTCAACCTTGGGCACGTTTGAGGGAGGGGGGGACTTCAATTCTGGGAGCTGAAATCCCTCCTCTCCAAGTGGCCAAGATTGAGAAAGAGGGACTTAAAGGCACATGACTTTTGCAAACAGCACCAATTGTCTTCTTTACCTGGGAACTGAGTGTGGGAAGCCAGTTGGTGCAATGTTGCACACTTAGGGCATCTAACTGGCGCCCCACCCTTTTTAAGAACAAACCAACAAACCTCTTGTCCCAGTTAATTCAGAGAACCAGTTCAAGATTGGGTTAAGATTTGCCATAGTGGAGAATATCTGTAGCTCGGGTGTAGGATGGGGGTGTGGAGGTCCGTTTTCCAAGCTTGTGGGTTGGTTGCCGAACATTTTGTTACCTTCACAAAACCTACTGACCACTCAAAGCCCTTATAAGCAGAAGGACACCCACAATGACATCCCCTAAATTTTGCTGAAGATGCTCATTGGCCTGGAAACAAAACATTCAGAAATCAACCCACCAACCTCCACCCTTCTAGGGTTAAGAACTACCACAAACATGAAGTTATGCCACAGACATTGCAACACCGGAATGCAAAATAACACAGTTGGAAGGGACCTTGGAGGTCTTCTAGTCGAACCCCCCTGCCCAAGCAGGAAACCCTATAGCATTCTGGATAAAAGACAGCCCAGTTTCTTCTGAAAAACCTCAAGTGATAGAGAAGCCACGACTTCTGGAGGCAAGCTGTTCCACAGGTCAATTGTTCTCACCGACAGAAAGTTTCTCCTTGGTTCTGGGTTTTGGCTCTCTCTTTGATAAGTTTCTATCCTTTGGGAAATGGGATGAGCTGACAAGAAATTGTGTAATAGATTCCTTCACGTGATTTCTTTGCTGCAAATATCCTCCATGGATCCGAAGAGATTTTCCAGAAAGCGGATTATAGCTTTTATACCCGTTTAGGAAGTGAGGAAGGGACTCGTTAACATCTATGAATGGAAGTTTTGGCTATCAGACTGAGAGGGAGAGCCACAATATTGCAGTAAAAATGATGGGGGGAGCAGGAGGAGAAAAGTGGGGACAGATGACACAGAACCCCAGTGCAAGGATTCAAGGGAAGGCAGCCACGGAATTTGTAAACAAGACCAGCTCTGCCTCGGGTCATTCCAAGAAAGGCACCCTAAAATCAAAGGAGGCTTGAACATTTCATCTCAAGGCAGCTCAATAAAGTTACAAAAATACATCACACACTGCTAGCAAAGGAAGTTTGGGAAAATGGTTCTCTTGCACAAACAGAATAAACTGAATATTAAACCTGTGGAACTCACTGCCACCAGATGTGTTGACTGCCTTGATAGCTCTAAGATTCGTTTTTCTCACCATGTACCGGTACATGTATACATCTGAACTGGACTGTTGTTTGTGTCATATATGTGGGTATGTGGGTATATGCATTATTTTTTTATGTGCTTATTTAGTCATGTTTATGTAGTGTATATTGGAAGTGGTGCCCCTTTGAGAGCTTATGCAACAAAACATCACTTTAATGTATGCCGATTAGTGTACATTTAAAGTGACAATAAAAGTATATGTTCTTGTCTCTATGGAATCTAAAGTTGACTTTTGAGGGAGCAACGTAGGAAGCGTATTAATGCCTCTGAATTTTGGAAAATATTTTTGAGAAGGTCACGGGCAGCCGAGGAAACAACCCATGGGCCATCGAATTAATCAACTCACTTGGAGGAACAAAATGACCACAAATGATCCTACTCTGGACATATGGTCTCTGGAGAAGGCTCTGGTGGTGGGGAAGGTGGAAGGAAAGAGTAGAAGACAATCCACAGTCAGGCGGATAGCTGCACTAGATCCACTATTGGAAGACCTGAAGGATTACGTTGGGGGAAGATCCTCCTGGGAAAAACTCTGTGTTGTTGCTAAGAATCAACAATAAGGTCATGTTGTTATCCATCAACGGAAGTCCTGTCTCTCTCTGGAGAAGTGGGTGGTGGAAAAGGTGGAAGGAAGAGGTCAACCAGTAGCCAGGTGAAAGATCTCAGTTGCAATGGAGGCATTGTTGGGAGACCTGAAGGACCAGTTTAGGGGCAGATGGTCCTGGAGAACATTCTCTCTCTCTCTCTCTCTCTCTCTCTCTCAGCTAGGAATCGAAAACAACTTATTGGCACGTAATCAGTCAATCAATCAAATGGAGCAGCCGGTAATTGCTTCTTGATGACTTCGGAATCTAGTTTAGGACCGATCACCCTGGAGAAGGTCTATCTGCGCTGCTGCTAAGAGCTGATCGTGATTGATGGCCATATTTAAGCAAAGATGCGGTTTTCCAATTTGGGGGCTTAGGTTTGCAGATTGCCCAGAGCTATCCAGTGCTAGAAGTGTCCAGTTTTAGGATATAAACGAATAAAGTGTTGAGTCCGGCATATCAGGAATTAAATGCTATGCACTTCCTGTGATGAGATGGACGGCAAATAAATTGAATAAATAAATAATAAACACACCAATCAATAAAAGTTCCATTTCACAATCCATTGCTAGGCTTTCATAATCGTCTCCATGAGTTTCTTCTCAATTTGGGAAGGAAAAACCCCAGGTAACTTTATGGGACCACCTTGCAGGGTGGTTGTTCCCTTCCTGGCTCGGCTCAGACGGGAAACCTACAGCTTCTATCGAGAGAGGAAAGAGTTAATTCTCATCCACCCGCGCCTGGGCGGGGCCCTGATCCAAGCAGCCAATCGGCGGGAACCAAAACAGAGCTGCCCCCGCGGGGAAGCTTGGTTGAGCTGCGGGGAAACACCCCCGTAGTACCAGCCGGCTCAGCCAATCAGCGCGCGGCTCCGCAGTGGAGTGATTTCGCGTCACGGCTCAGGCTCGAGGATTACATCATGGGGGCGGGGATTCCCCCCCCCTCCTCCACGTGGAGAACTCTGGGACTTGCTCACCGATGGTGACGTGTCTTTGGAGGGCGGGGCCAATATTTAAACGGGCCGCGCGTAGTTCATTCTTATTTTTTTGGCCCACAGGGAGGAAACTGGGAAGCGGGTTATCCGCTTAAACAGGAACAGAATCGGATTCAAGTTTCGGGACCCCCCCATTTCTCGAGGTGGTGAGGGGACGGGAGCACCTGTGCAAAGTTTGCAACATAGCCTCTGAGCATGGGCAAAAGGTTCCCCTGCTCCATTGTACTAAGCTTTTCTCAGCTTTGTGACCTCCAGATTTTATTTTTTATTTGATTTGATTTGTCAATCGCTTACAAGGCAATAGGTGTAAGAATAAACATGAGTAAGAATACAGGAAATAGGTAGGAATTAATGGGGACAATAGGACGGTAGGCACGATGGTGTGCTTATGCAGGCCCCTTACAGACCTCTTAGGAATGGGGTGAGGTCAATAGTGGATAGTTTGAGGTTAAAGGAGTGGTGGGTTAGAGGATGTGACTACAGAGTCAGGTAGTGCATTCCAGGTGTTGACACTCTGTGGCTGAAGTCTTCCTGCAATCGAGTTTGGAGCAGTTTACATTGAGTTTGTATCTGTTGGATAAGTTGGACTACAACTCCCATTTTCCCCAAACCCTGCGGCAGCCAGGAGAGATAACTGGCTGGACTCAGAGGGTGAAGAATCCACGTTTGCAACCAGAGCATCTGCCCAAATGCAGGATTTGCAAGGGTCATCCAGGGGTTGCAAGACCCCAGAGTTAGCCGACCTGCGCCCACCGAGACCTGCACTGCTCCAGCGAGGCTGAACTGCAAAAGAACCAAACTGACTGGGCATAATTGGAAATCTTCTTCTTCCTAGTGTACTCCTGCAGATGCAGGGCCCACTTTTCGGGTCATGGAATACCACTTTGCATGGTCAGCTGCGTCTCCGGGGCTCAGGCCTTCAGCTTGCATATCTTTGTTGATGGTATCTTGCCATCTCTGTTTTGGGCGCCAGTGAGGTCGCCAGCCATTGGTAGGCAGTTTTGGCCACAGTGGACGGTGTTGCTCACTGGACGGTGTCCATACCAGTGAAGCTGGCCTTCTCTCATCTTCTCTGCAACTGGTGCCACACCAAAATGCTGTCGAATGGTCTCATTCATGATGTGGTCAAGAAGGGAGGTGCCCGATGTCCAATGGAGCATTCACATTTCCATGGCATGGGAATTGTTTCACTTGGAAATAATCGTAAATGCGCTACTAAAAAGCTACCAAAGTCCTTGCAAAGTTCAACCTACCAACACCGGAGAGGTTTGGGGGGAGGGTTTTCTTTTGCTTTTTAAAGGGAAGGGTCTTTCTGATCTTTGCCCTTGAGCCAGCCCCGTCTCTTTGATTCTCCCGCTCATTTCCCAGAAGTTCAACCGGTGCGGCTTTCTGCAGCACAGAAACCCAGGGCTGTCAGAATGGGAGGGAAAGCTCTCCAGGACATCCTCTGCTTTGCATGCTGGGCTAAAAAACGTGCCGGGAGGGGGGAGGGGAAAGTGCAACCCGACCTAGGAGTGGTGATTGTAATAACACGCCATCCCCGTTTATCCCTGCCTGCGTCCCTTTATTGCCTCTGGCAGGGCGAGAAAGATCTGCTGGGCTTTGAGAATCGGTCACGCTCTTTTCCAGCGTTTTCCTGCACCCGCCGGGGAATCCAGCCTGCTCCTCTGCTCAACAGAAGCTGGCATTGCGTTTTACTGGAAAGGTGTAACCCACAAAGGATGCCAGGCACACACTGTGTGTGCTGGAGGGTGCTGACTCTTTCCCGCTTTGTCCTCAGGAGTGCTTTGCGGGCAGGTTTCACCTGCTCCCTTCGGGTCCCTTGTCGCTGCGCTCTTCCAAACAACAGGCAAAATCAACAGCATCCCTCTTATCTCAGAGTCTCTCAACCTTTAAGATGGGTGGACTTCAACTCCCAGAATTCCCCAGGCTGAGAAGTCCACTCGTCTTCAAGCGGCCAAGGTTGGGCAACCACCCCCACCCCGTGTTAAGAGAAAACCGAACGTGGGGCGTTGCCTTCCGCCGTTTGGGTAGCGCTGGTGGCACCCGCAAGACGGGCAACCGAGTTCTCCTCTCCTTTGCAGAGGCCCCGAGGCGGCTCCTGGGAAGCTGAGCCAGAAAGGGGTTGGGTGGGCCCTGCTTCCTTCTTCAGGCATGAGGGTAGAAGGCAAGGAGGAGACAAGGCCCAGCTTCCCTTTGCTTCACCCCAAAGAGCTGCAAGTGGACCCTAGGGGTGGCACCCGGCCCAGAGCTGTGATGAGTTGAAAACGGAGCTGGAAAGTACGATGACAAGATTCCCTCGCCTGCAAAGATTGGGGCAAAAACTCTGAAAATGCAGAGCGGGAAGGGAAAAGTACAGGCAGTCCTCGACTTACGACCTCAATTGAGCCCAAAACTTCTGTTGTTAAGGGAAGCCTTTGTTAAAGTTGTGTTTTGCCCCATTTTAAGACCTTTCCTGCCACCACTGTGAAAGGAATCCCCGCAGTTGTTAAGCTAGCGACACGGTTGTTAAGCGAACCTGGATTTCCCCCGCCAACTTTTGCTTGTCAGAAGGTTGGATGACGTGACCCCAAGACGCTGTGCCCCGTCGTAGGTATGAACCCGTCGCCAAGCCTCTGAATTTAGATCACGTGACCCTGGGGGAGGCTGCCAAGGTCATAACTGCAAACGGCCATATGTCGCTTTTCTTCAGCGTCGTCGTAACTTTGAACAGTTGGTAAATGAACTGTTGTAAGTCGAGGACTGCCTGTATTGAATCCTTTCAGGGGGGCCCCTTCCTCCCGGTGCCTGCGCCCAAGGAACCATGGGTGGGAGAGAGAGGGAGAGTCAGTGGCATTTGCTCTCTAAGATTGCACTATTTTTTCTTTATTGGGACGGTTTTGACATGCAGAAACAATATATATATAAATATGTACAGAGACACAGAGACATCCCAAAGGAGAGTTAAGTGACATTGGTTAATACAGCCTTACGCAAAAAAACAGAAAACAACCAACCAGGTGTTTTTGCTCTCTCTCTCTCTCTCTCTCTCTCTCTCTCTCTCTCGGGTATATTGTCAACGAGTAGAAGAAAGAGAGAAGCCAGGACAGTTTTAAATGGGTTTCAGTGTTGTTAAAACTATCGCTAGAATGTTTACTTTTTACATTTCCCTTCAGACAATAAATTCCGCCCGTCGACGGTCTCCCTCGAATAAAACAAAACGTTGAGCGTTGTTTGTCAATAAATATTATCCGTTTTTTTTAAAAGTTGGGACAACTGGAGAAGAAGTTGTAGCTTTGCATATACAGGTGGCGAGGCTATGAGACGGGTTTCGGGGAAAGGGAACGAGATCCCGAACAGTTAGCAGTTAGGTAGTCAGTGGGGGAGAGACAAGACTAACTAAGGGCAAACCAACGGGAAACCCGGGGAAGCTGCTTTCTTGGGGCCGGTTCTGGGTTGAAGGGCGAAAGGTTTGGGAAGTTGCAGAGGGAGCCCAGGATGCGGTTGCAGGCCAAGGGGCTGGAGCCTCTCTAAGGGCTGCAGATTGACTGGCCAAGGAGGGAAAGGGAGGATCCAGCCTGAGCCCCACACCTGCTTTTCCCGCAGAGCCTGGTGGGTTGTTATCAGGATCACCGAGGAGTCGAGGTTCTGTGCCAAGCGACGGCTGGCAGTGGGGGAAATCTCGGGACAAAGGTCGCGTCACGGGCAAGAAAATTCAGCCTCTTTCCCAGGCTGGCAGTGGCCCTGCCAAGTGGCAAAACCCACCAGATTCTCCATCCGGGAGCACGGAAGGGTAACTTCCTCTCCTGGGGTAAAGGCAGAGTTGGGTGAAAGGACGCCAGGATGCGCCTTGCTTCGAGCCAGTGCCTTCTAATTCAGCTTAATTTCACTAGCAACCCAGTTATTTTTGCACCCTCTCGAAAGATTTTTCGATAGCCGCTGCCATGCGGGAATGGGCCCTCTTGAAAGATTTTCCCTTTTCTTAAAATACAGTCAGGGCAGAATCCCCCCCCACTCATTCCCTCAGGGCTGCCCCCTCACCCCTTTCCACCCTTTTTTCGTTAGTGTTAGTTGAGTCCTGGCAATAATATAGTCCATTTAGTGCTTTAAAATGCAAATAAGGTTTTACGCGCGCACGCACACGCACACACACACGCACAGAGTGTTTCATACCTCCAGACATAACAGCCACTCAGGGTTAACATTTCCAGTGCAAAGTGCAATCTCGTCCCTTTCTGTGGCTGACTTTCCCTTATCAATACCGTTTTTTTGTAAAGTGGGGGGGGGAGACTGAATTTCTGACGTACTTAGAGAGGGGAGGGGGTCAAGGGTGGGGGGAAGACATGCAGCTGGTTCACTCTGGGACCCGCAGAGAGAGGGGGGGGCTCCTTCCTAACCTGCAGAACCCCCACGGGTGTCCTGGCTAAACAATGCTGCCTTCGCACCAACACCCCCCCTTCCTGTTAAGAGCTTAACTACAGCCACCCCCCCCCCCCCCCAGGCAGAGCCAAGAGAGGAGGTGGCAGCAGTGGCGGTGATGCTTTTGGAAGGTCAGGTTTGATTTGTGCAGGAGGTCGAGCGGAAGGCCGAGCTTTGGAGTCGCCCTAACTAGGGCCGAGCCAGGATTGAATGCGTGGCTATTGTGCCTAAGCAAGGGGAGGTGGGGGGAGGACTGGAAAGTGAGTGGGGACGGAGTCTGTGCAAGTAGTCATGCAGATCTCTTACTTTAAAAGAAAAAATGGGGGAGGGGGGAGATCTCAGCATCCTCCACCGGGAGGGGGGGAGGGGGGCAGAGGCGTGAGAGGGAGTGAAGTGAGAAACCAGCCCCATCCGAGGGGTAGAATGGCTGTCGGGACCCCCCCAAGGTTAAGGACGTGGGGATGAGCCCCAGAGGAGGAGAGGAAAGAGCAGCCTGTCCTGGGGCCCATCGCTAGCTAGCCGGGCTGCTCTTGGCCTGGGCTGCCCCCGCCTCCTTCGGTGCAGGGACAGAGGGGGGGGAGGGGCGGGAAGGACCGTTACAGAGCGAAGAGGGCATCCTCGGACCGGTCCGGCTTCCTTTTGCTAGGCAGGTTCGCGGGGGGCAGCGTGGGCTCCTCCTGAGGAGGGGAGGGCAGGTCGGGGATCCTTTCCGCTGCTTTGGCACGCTCCTCCAGGAACCGGTCGAATTCTGCAAGGTTTGAAAACAAAAGAAAACCCCCAGGTTGCTCAGGGAGAAACGGTCCCAATGCAAAATGTCCATGGAGATTTTCAGTCCTCCAGGCCAGGGTTTGTCTCCAAGGTGCTTTTCCCAAGAAGCAACTGGACTTTCTCGTGGGTTTCCCCCCCCCCTTAAAAACGGGTCACTCCTCATCCAAGAAGCTTCTTCAGCTCTGAAGAAGCAGCTTCTCCAAGGAGAAGTGAAAAAACCAGAAAGTCCAGTTGCCCCTTGAGAAAAGCACCAAGGCTGTTTGGGGATCGACTCTTCCCTGTCAAAATTCAGCCGAGGAGGCCCTGAAGGGCGCCTGGCTGGGCCTTGGAGCCTGAAGCAGGATTGTCCAGAGGAGAAATGGCTGGCTGGCTGGCTGAGTGGCCTGGCTGCAACAGAATAACAGAGTTGGAAGGGACCTTAAGGTCTTCTATCCATGAGCCGTGGTGGCACAGTGGTCAGAGTGCAGTACTGCAGTACCATTTCTGCTGACTGCCGGCTGCCAGCAGTTCGAATCCCACCAGGCTCCAGGTTGACTCAGCCTTCCGTCCTTCCCAGGTGGGTAAAACGAGGGCCCAGGTTGTTGAGGGGGGCAAGAGGCTGACTCTGTAAACCGCTTAGAGAGGGATGTAAAAGCCCGGTGAAGCGGCATATAAGCCTGAATGCTATTGCTATCACCTGTTCAAGCGGGAAACCCTGCACAGCTTCCAACAAATCTTTCTTCCTGGCCTACATTCCCCGCACACCCCCTTTGCGGAACTAGGGAGGGAGGGGCGGGCCACGTAGGGCCATGCATCTTCCACCCTGCCAGGCTTCATTAGCTCCCCTCTCCTGGATGTTTGGGGGGGGGGTTCCCATCGTCCAGCAGTTCCTCCTTTTCAGTGACTAAGGCAGCACCTCGATCCCTGGGCTGCTTACGTACCTTCGCTGGTCACGCCTTCTTCCAGCTCATCCCCTTTCTGGAATTGGAGGAAGAAGGAAGGGGGGAGTGGGGAAGAAAAGAGAGAGAGAGAGAGAGCTTACCATTTTTATACCCTTCCTCCTTTAAGAAGAGCTGCAGAGAGTGTAAGGACTTTGCCAGCAGGGGGGGAGCCAACTGGGGCGGGTACCAAAAACTGGGCCCCGATTTGCCCCAACTCTGGGATTAAAAAAAAAAAAAAAAAAACACAGCAAGAAAAATGTGGTTGCTGGACGGGGGTCCCAGGGATTGACCCTGCTTGGCTTTGCCAATGAGAGAGGATCCATCCTCCAACGGACAAAAGGGACCTTCCCCATCCGGGGCTCAGCTTCCCCCAAGCTGCCTGGTTTGGACGCATTCCAAAAAGCTCGGCTGACGAGATGCCTGGAAGGAGAGGAGGCAGCCTAGGAACTTTAACCGAAGGGGAAAGAGGGGCTCCTGTCAAATCACGCCCCAAAACCGCTGAATCCTGAAAAGCCTCCGGAGCAGCAACTTTCCTACCCTGCTTCTGTTAGGAAGCGCCTGTCCTACTTGGAGTGAGGGGACACCGTAAAGGGCCTCCCTCTCCCCATGGACCCTTCTTGGCGTCCCTCGCATTCAGGGCAAAAGGGCAGGCCTGGGAGGAGGGCTGCTTTCTTATGAAACCCAGAGCGAAGGCTCAGCGTGCCTGGACAGACCCCATGCAGGAGGCGGTGGCCCAATCCAGCCAGCCGTGTCCTTCGGAGCGGGCAGGACATCTCCCCATTCCAACCCTCGGCCAAAAGACCTCCTGGGGGATATTTTTCTCCTCTGTGGTTTGCAATCTATTTCTACAGACCTGTGTTTTCTAATCTTGGCAACTCGTAAGAGAAGTAGACTTCGACTCCCAGAATTCCCCAGCCAGCTGTGCCAAGACTTTCTTTCCTGCTGGCTGGGGAATTCTGGGAGTTGAAGTCCACTTCTCTTACGAGTTGCCAAGGTTGAGAAACGCTGCTTATATACACCACCGAAGTTCCTCGGAGTTGGCCAATACTTCCCTCTCCTTCAGCACACGTCTGTTCCAGATGCTACCCAAATAAGCAAATCTGGCTTTCCCCATCGGCTTGTCAGGAGGTCACGAAAGAGGGTCACTTAACCACGGGACACTGTGACCGTCATAAACACGAACCAGCTGCCAAGCACCTGAATTTGGATCACGTGACCAGGGGAGGCTGCGGTGTGAAAAATGGCCACTGGCGACTTTCTTCAGTGCCGTCGTAACTTTGAACGGTCACTCAGTGAATGGTTGTAAGTCGAGGACCGCCTGCTGTGCTTTGGAAGCGTGTGCCAAAGGAGAGCTCCTACCCTGGCAGTGCCCTGCGCTCCTCAGAGGCCAATTTGAAAAAAAGGTAAACGAGGACCAAAGCAGAAGAACCAAAGAGTCTCTTACCACGTCGGTACTCAGCCACTCCTCAATGTCCTCCATGACAGAGGACTGTGGGACAGGAATCTAGGCAGGGGCAGCAAAGAGGGGGAAACAAGACCAAAACACACCCAGAAATTCGGGCCCAGAATGAGACAGGGGAGAAAAAAAGAGAGAGAGAGGGGGAAGAGGGAGAAACGAAAAAACAAAAACAAAACAACAAATATAGGCTGTGTAAGATGCATTGCTGTCGTAAAATTAAAAAAAAAAAGTGCATTGTCGTCATCGCACGAGATCGTAACCGAACGGAAAAAAGCACACGCACAAAGAAAGCCGTGGGAAAAACGAGGCAATGTGGCTGGCAAAACTCAACACAGGGAAGGTTATGATGAGTGAGATGGGGAGGGGCGGTTGAGTGGGGAGGGGGGCGGCATCCTCTAAACCAGGAGCAACAGGGCTGCTGCTTTGCTTTCTAACCGATCACGGAAGACAGGAAAGCCGGAAGGATGCCCTGCGAGGGGAACGGGTGGGCAGAAGTGCCGGCGAAGGCTTTGGGGATGGTGCCGAAGTGTGCGGCTGGGTGAGAGAAACAGGCTGGGGGAAGCCCAGTCCATAAGGGTCCATCTTGGACCTGCTGCACAGAGATCATCCGAAAATCATTTGGGATTTAGTGGGACGGTTCTGAATTCCCAGATTCCTTTCTTCCCTGTTCCTCTTTCATGAGCACAAAGAAGTGGTTGCTGGCCAAATCCTGGTCCACACAAGTTTTAAGGTGCTTCTGGGCACACACAGACACAGCACATGCCTTCTGCCTCCCGCAATCACACCTCATGAGATTTCCCCCAAGCTCAGAAACCAAACGCTCATCCAAACTATCAAACTATACTCCGTCTTTAGACCCAGACCTGCCATTCCAGATATTGTAACTGCTGTTTTTTTATTTTCCATTTGCCAAACCTTCCCCTTTCTCCGGTCCTGGGCTGTCTGGAACAGGAGCGACCACTATAACCGTGGCTTGTCGATTCAGGTATGGTGCCAAGTCACAGCTGGTGCAGCCGCGACTCGGGCCGGTTTTCATGCGCTGGTCAACGGTCAAAATGGAAGGAAGCTCCTTCAGGGCCATTGGGCTGCTGAGTCTAGGCTACGAGATGCCCCAACTGAATGGGGCTGCCAATCAAGACTGAGACATGTAGAAAGACATATTGTCTGGAAAAGAGGGGGAGCTTCACGGTAACTCTGACCCAATGTGCCCCTTTCAATTCCCAGCCTTGGGCGAGGGACTCTTGGTGTGTGTCCTTGCCCTTCCTTCTCACCTGTCTGCTTGCACACTTGGGCAGGTCCATTTCATTATTACGTGTCTCATAAAGTGACACGGTTCACAGCTTCTGCTGCTGGAAACCACGGTTAGGGATTAGTTGGATAGGGGAGGTCAAGTATGTCCGTGTTAAGAACAGGGATGAGGACAGACCGGGAAACACCGGCCTCTCCGATTTCTGTACAGGTGTTATTAAAGGGTCCACAAAGGGGGCAGTAACCTTTTTTTCCAAGCTGAACAAACACAAGCTAGCAGTGTGGATGCTTGGAACACCGGAGGAGGGGGAACAGAATTTTTCAAATCAGGGGGAGAAATATAATGGGGGGGGGCTCTTAAGGGCCTCCCCAAGAAATTGAAGCAGTAAGATGATCTGCTCTGGGGGAGGGTTCAATCACTCAGGGGATTTA